AATGGGCCCGGCCATTGAATTTGCCCGGAGCCGATATTGTAATGGTTTCTCGTGTATAATATATTAATTGGACATTTATTGTTATTCGTTCGTCTCACCCGCAGTACAAACACACAGCACTGTCTGAGTAGTAATTAAAATTATCATTATTATTATAATTCAATGTCCACGGCGGGGGGTCCAATCACCGGTTGTCACGTTGATTGGATGCGTTCCCACCAATAAAAAAAAATTAAAAAAAAAAAAAAATAAATAAATACTATATATATATATATACCGACTACTAATTTAAAAACGCGGTTCCCGAGATCGTTTTCTCCGCGGAAACCGGTCGCTATAATATTACATTAAAGTACTTAAATAATATAAATACACTCGTATTATTCCGTTTTACGTGTACACAATTAACGAACATTTTGATATTAATGTAATATTGAAATATATCGCGGGATACGGCCAATAGGGAACGCGAGCGATGTCGAAAAACGAAATCCACTTAAACACAGACGACTGGTTATTACAATGGGCACAAGTCGTTACTCGGGAGTATTTCTAATCCTGGGTCTCGGTCCGAACTATAGCGGTGCCAGGCACTTAATCCGGTTCGCCCCGGAATCCGTGTCACAGTGGTCAATCCGAATCGACGGATTAATTATTTAATCCGTTAAATCGTTTATTTATTTATCGTATTTATCGTATTTCAAACGGGCAGAGCCCACCAATTGCTGCGGTTGTGGATGTATAGCGTAACAGTAAACTAAAACGTGACGCGAAACAAGAGTATTACGATTTATTAAACGCGGTACACGAATGAAATAACACGCGTAGTGCTGAATTGATTGACCGAAAACAATAAAGAAAAAAAAAAGAAAAAAAAGACAATTAGTTACGTACGTTATTTAGATATACAGAACAGGTATGACAAAAGATTCGGCTGAGGAATTACCGAATAAATCAACAGTACAATTGTTTACCAGCTGCGTTGAACAATTTAACAGCGAGTATCGGAACCATATTTCGAGTGCCGGAAAGACCCCCTGAAAGTTAATTTGTTAATTAATGGCTGCGGACAAAATGAAAAAAAAAAAAAATGTATACAACAGGCAACACAGGCGATCCGTTCATACGCCTAACGAACGATAAAAACGTATTCGTTTGATATTTTGTTGAAAATTGCGTTTAATGTACGGACTGACGGATCGAATCCTCCCATCTATAATAATATTTATTTCGCAATAGTTACTACGGATTTCGAAATGCGAACCTGATAGTATTTATACACTCGTCGGCGCGGACGTTTTGACGTCGGTTTAAGGGCACGCACGGGCTTTTTATCAACAGGGTGTAAACGGTCCCCGGGGTCTGCGGCTGCGCGCTTTGTTTTTTTATTGCGAGTCGGCATTAACTATTTAACATTGTAATGTGTAACGCGTTAGGTTTGAGGACTACGCTTTCAATACAAGTCATACTTACAGGGGGTGTGCAATCATCTGAAATTGTCTTTTACCTGTAATCAATCGGTTAGTTAATCGATTGCAGTATATTTTGTGTATCGCGTAATAAACCTGTTGGTCGCTTATTCACCGAGATGTCTAATCGTAGGGACGACGTGAGTATGAACAAATGCTGTTATCATTACCGTGTATAGGCGATTATTTAGGCGTGTTTACCGTTGAGATAACACGCCGCGAATATTTAATAACATAATAGCAATAATAATAATAATGCACGTTGCGCAACCTATAATAGTCGATGACCGCATGATATTACACGGACGCGATTTTAACGAGTAAAATATGGAATTGTTTTTTAAGTGTTTTTCCAATCGCGTGCGGTGATGTATACGCATTTTGTCGTAAAATGGGACGGGTTTTCGAGGCTTGCGGTAATTTTATGGAATACAATATGTATACGTATATAATATATATATGTGTGTGTGTGTGTGTGTATGTGAATATTTTAGAAACGCGCGCGCGAGAGGTACAGAGAAAAACCACTAAATACAATTTACAGCGGCCGGTATATTATAATACGCGCCTACGGTAAAATACCGTCGACGGGCCCTTTTGATAAAACGGAACAAACTGCGGTGTACAACGGAAATTCAATTGTCCTGAAATTGAATTTCACTGTTAAACTTTTGTAATAAAACAGCTGTTCTTTCAAACGTTCACCGCGAATGGAAATCGTCTTTAGAAGTTCCGGGAGCTCCGGAATCTTACTTGTCTTCTCGGCGTTCCGTCATCGTATCTACTCCACATCACGTTTCCAAACCAATCTCTACAATTACTATGATAACCTCTGGTAACTTTTTATCTGACCTGTCACTTCCCCACGCGCGGCTTCCGTCTGCATTTATCTTGCCTAAATCCTTGACTATATTACGGGGAAATTGCCGTGGACGGTACAATTTCAAGGGCGGTAAAATTTCAACAATTTTAGGCGGCGAGATCGAGACGAAAATGGTCGAGGCAAGGAAAATATAGAAAATTTTAAGTATGGGCGTGCTCACGTAAATATGAGAAGGGGGTGGGCACTATTTTTTTTCCACCCGGGGCGTGATAATCTTAGATCGATCACCGATATTCGTTCCTTCGTCCTATAATATCCAAACGGCAGAATACATTGGACATCTCCGTACATCTTATAAAAATCGAGTTTTATTTTGTTTACAATTTGTATTAAATAATTGCATAATTACAATTAGTATTTAAATTGTACGAGGAAAAGCCGAAAATAATCTTAAATCGAATCGAATCCGAACTTCGGATTACGATTAAGATCGCTCATGGGTTAATGAAATTTCGAAGATTAATTCCAGCGAGAGTTTAAATATTTCGACCAAAAATGTGATATCAAATTAATCTGCGCAGTTAAATTTCGACCGGAATAACATCGAAACACGAACATTGATAGGAGCGCTGAATGGTATACCGTACGGCGGAGTGCGCAGAAGAGTAGCGAGGTTAGAGGTCATACCGCTCGGCAACCGTCACCCTATCTAATTCAATCCCTGCCGCCTAATTAAAATTGCTATTAAAATATTTTATCGTTTGTCTTTTTTCTCTCTCTCTCTCTCTCTCTCTCTCTCTTTCATTTCGCGCTCTGTGCTTCGTCGGTATTTACAACGAATAAATATTATACAACGGCCCTCCCTGGACCTCTCCCACCACGCCACCCATCGATCCGGGCTTGACGGTTATAATGACAACGTCCAGCGGTCCGCGGACGGGCCGGGCGGCATGTTCCCGGGGTACGCGCGACGACCGCGACATGTTATTATTATCGTTATCGTTATCGTTATCATTATTATTATTATTATTATTATTATCGTGGACACGCACGCGCGTACGTGTCGGCGGGCGTTCTGGTCGGCTACCAGCGGCCGACACCGGCCGTTCGCCGTACGAGGGCGCGGCACGGAGGGGTACCGGGGGCGTCGGGCGCTCGAGTCGGCCGCACGCCTATTTCAATATTGTCACGATACACTCGTAACGATATTATTGTATTCCGTCTCCGTGTACGGTAATATACGCGCGCGCACGCTCGCGCGTTTGTTTTAATAACTTACAATACGATACGCCGGGTACAACGCGCGCGTGTGCGACAGCGCCGTAACGAACGACGGGGCGGCACGACGCGCGGCGGCGGCGGCGGCGACAACAACCGCTACTTAATCAAGAGACGCGTCAACAAACTTACACGTTAATTATTGTCGTTGTTATTAATTACCGTGTCCCGGCGACGCGTAAACACGATTAGTAGTCGGGCGAAACTTGCCGGGCCGCCGCCGCCGCGTGGTGCCCCGTGACGTGCGCGCGCGGTGTACTCTCGCGGTCGGGAACTGCTCGCGGCCGGGGCCCGAAATCGACCGTCCTCGGACGGTCGTCGGGCAAACGCGTTTTTTTATGCGTTCTTTCTTTTCGTTTTTTTTCTCCGGCCGCTTGTTAGTTTACCGTCCGGCGTTAGATCATCGCCGCCGTACGGTAGTCGGGCGCAGGGACGACGTGTTTAAGGACGGTCCGCGGTGGGGGTTGGGGTAGGGGGGAGATCGTTGGCGTCGTTAAAAGGGGGCGTAACAGCGCGTCTTCGAGACGCGCCGTAAAACGGCGCGGTGAACACTCGGCCGGCAAGGCCTAGAATAACGCGTTTCAGAGCCCGGAACAATACAAAATGTAAAGTGCGCGGTTCGAAATTCCAGCGCGTTGTAAAAAAACGTGTACTCGTGATAAGGTGCTGAGAATGTAAATAATACGTCTCTGATGGTTAAGCGGGCGTCATGGAACTCGACGAGATATTTAAAATTATGACACACTCTGGGGCGTCGTTTGGAGTGGTGCAGGGTGTGCGTTCACATCGCCTTTTTTTTTTTAAACGTCTTCTTTGGTCTGCCAAAACTTAAGTATAAACGCCAATATACCTCCTAAGTGTTTTATGATATCATGTGTCATTGAGTTGGTATTTAAGATCACTATGGAAAACGGTACCGATATAATTGGCAGAGAAGGCAAAAAAGAAGAAGACTGAGGGGTTAAGCTACCCGTAAAGTGGTAGTGATTTGAAATGCACGAATTTCGGCACCAATAATAAACAAATTGAAATGACGCCCCTGAACACACCTACTGCTGTAGGTTCGTATGAAGATTAATATACATAATAAAACAAAATCGGTCAAAAACGATCGGACTATGATCAGTTAAAATATCTGTCGAATGGCGACGTTTTTATCGAGATAATTTATGGTAATATTTCTATGTGCCTAGTGATCAAATCCAGGTTAGCGATGCACTATTCGAGACATTGTGGATTTGATGGATTCCATCGTTTGAGATGGATGACCACGATCACAGATCATTTCGTCTTTTTGAGTCTTTTTCGTCATGCCTCGTTTATATAGCGTTTACACGCATCTTCCGTGTTCGGTACGGATTCGACCGGTTAAGGGTGACCCATTCTTTTCGTTTTAATGTATGTCCGGTACTCGGGAGCACGGTACTTGATCAACCGGTGTCCATCCGGGGTTGACAGACTCCGATTCGCCAACGTGCTGTCCAATTTTTCACTCCGTCGAACTGGTTATCAATTGATTTCTCGGCTGTGAAACAGAAAGACTTCATTGACTTGAATATGAAAGTACGGCCATGTGTACTATGGCCATTCTCTTGCAGTAGCCATCGACCGTCGGATATGTGGTGGAAGAATGATACATAACAATAATCGGAACCATTGACTGGAGGATTCGTTTTTACTAAACACCTGCCGTAATACGCGCAGTAGAGTGTATTCATTTTTAATGTTTATATTATTTTATATTATTCATATTCAAGCAACTAAGAGCGGCGTACTCTGCGGCCGAATGAACTAAAGCAAATGCGGATCTTCCTAAAAGTTTGAGTAGTGGTAGCCCAACTTGAGCCAGTGAGTTTTTGAATAATATCATTACTTGTTCTAATTTGTGCGGCGATATCGTATATACTTTTTTTTGTAATTTTGAAAGCGTTTAAAATTCACAAAAAAATTAACCGCTGACCCGACCAACTAATACGGTCGAGAACGAATTGACGTTCAGGAGAGAAAAAATAAATGTACGATTTTTACAATTTGTATTAGCTACGAAAAAATGGCAATCGTTGTTTACCCCCGAAATCGTGTGGCCTGGCTTGCCGTACCAATTCGGAATTATTGTTTTACAGTTATTTAACTAGAAATATGTTTTTATTTAATGGTAGTTAGTTATATATATATATATGAAAAAAACCCGTCTTCGGATTAATAATTTTGACTTTGAACGATGCACCTGAACGCGAGCGCCGCCGTTATCGGACACCGCGCAGTATTCGACCGAAATAATATGTTTTATTCAAAACAGAAAACAACTCTATATATCATAATGAAAACAAAAAATTCGAAATAGTACGTGTACCGTAAATATAGCTGTATCCTAAAACGGAATTCATTAAATAAATAGGTACACGCACTAGTCGGACTAGTTTTCTTCTACTCCGCGGTATACCAGCTACTTTCCGTTTTATCGAGACATCCGTCCCTGTCGTAGTGTTTTTTTTTTTTTTTTTTTTATATATATTTATTCCGGTATTACAATTCACAGGACTGACCGCGATTACGAGTGTCCGATTATCACTAGACGCATACCACTAGTGTAAGGGGCATATGAAGAGCGGTAGAGCTAAGGGGACAATAAGGAAGCCCCGCTATAGATTTACATTAAAAACGTATTACGGTGTATTACTGAACGGATAACGTACGTTCATATATCAAATTTGAAGTGTAAAAAAAAATCCACCATTATTTCGGTGATGTACACCACTCTGTAGTCTGTCCTAAAATCGGCCATTAAAACGTGTGTAAAATATGTAAACAGTTCTCAGATATATGTATGGGTATACTATAGTGCAGGGGCCGGGAACCTTTTCGTGTAAGCGAGCTATTTTTAAAAAAAAAAAAAATTGCAAAATCACGGTTTTCAAAGAGCCGCGATGATTATGATAAAAACAACATAACGCAGTACAAAAAACTACTAATATATTTTACATATTTTACCAAGCAATCTCATTGGGAATCGGTAGGCACACAATCAAATTTTAATTTATATTTTACGGCTCTAGCTTTAAATCTAGAATGTCTAGATTGTCCATGCATTTTCCAAAGAACCTTAGATCGCATGTTAAGGTGCGTCACGCGGCTCCCGACCTCTGCTATAGTGTGTAAACCAATAATACAATATTTGATTTTTATATTCTGAATGTAACGAAGTAGTTATTGGTTTCACTTATAAGACGTGCGTTTTTTTTCTCGGAAAATTGCAGTTAGTAAAAATACTCCGAGTTTTCATGCCGCATCTAAAAATATGTGAATTTGTCTCCGGATCGTACTGCTTTATATTTGAACAAATTTTCTAGATTTTTAACAGTTTTTATAAAAAAAAAAAAATTAATTTTTTTGGTTTTTCGGCTATATATATATAAAAGGCAATTCATAAAAAAAAACGTTATTTTTAAAATTAGAATTATCCAGTCAATAATAACTCAAAATTCATAATTTTTGTTTATTTACAACCTGTAGAAACTGTGGAAAACTACATTGGGCAACGTGCATGTGTCCACCCCCGCGTTCACGACAGTCATTAACCCGGTCAAGTTCGATCGACAAACGCAATACGAACACTTCTCAAAAAAAAATAATATTCAGTGACGAAGCACATTTACACCTGTCTGGATATGACAACAAACAAAACTGTTGAATTCGAGCCAATTGAAACCACGGGGTGATCGAAGAGTACGAAATGCTTTTACATCGAACCGTGGTTTGGTAAGGTTTTTGGGCAGGAGACGTGATCGGACCATTATTTTTTGAAAAACACAATACTGACTGCCACGAACGAGGAGGCGGACGTGTGTTCGATGTAATTTTCCGCAGTTAAATCGCAGGTCCTATCGGTTGTAAATAAATATAAATTATGAATTTCGGATCCATTTACTGACTGAGTAAAAAATACGTCTATTACATTTAACAATTTAAACAATTTACCGAGTTCTGAGCCGTCTTTCGGCAGAAAAATTGAACAGCCCTAGTATTGTTATACCCTATAACTTTCCAACTTTCTACCTACGACAAAATTCTATCCATGGGACAAAAGGCAAAGTGTGTTTGTTTTTTGTTATTATTATTATTCTCACCCAATAAACTCTCTTAAATCATTTATAATATTTTGAAAATTATTCTAAACAGCTTTTGAAAATTACTATAATATTATATACGAAAAATTGTACAGAGTTTCATCCGTTCGGGTTTATCGCCATCATCATTGAATGTAAATGCACAAATACTAATACATACATTTTTGTTTCGCATCATCAACTATACATTTCGGATATATTTGTTTATACAACCGGCTATCGATCGTAACATCATTTACGTTTTCAAATAAAAAAAAAGAAAACAATATCTACGAATTATTTAGATTGTAATTGGTTATGATTTTGTTGAGTTTATTAAAAATAATTTACATGTATAATTTAAAATTAATATTATATATTTTAGTTTTGGAGTTTGCCAAAGAACATTCTATTAATTTTAGATAGATGTGTGTTTTTGTCACTGAACACACCCTTTTGGTTTGTACAAATGCTTGGATTCACGCCATACCTTTAAAAATGCGCATTTTTTGCGTAGTGGTATATTTTAGAAATATTTTTTAACATTTTTAGCAGTTCACGCCCCGGATCTTTTTTGTTTTATTTTTCGATTATTGTGGATTTCTACAGAACTCCCTTGTCAACAGGCGGAAAACAAAACAAATTTTACTCCACTCAGAATCATGTTTCGTTTGTAATATGTTTTTTATTACTCTAATATTTTTTTTAAGCAAAAATTAATTTAAAAAGTATTCTAAAAAAAAAATGAATACCATAATAATCTGAAAGGGCTATCACCAACATTTTTCTCCTCTATCTGCTTCACGCGTAATATAAAAAAGTACTTTAGGGATAACATTTTTCGATTTTCCCAAGAGTTTTCCCAGCAAATGTGAAAAACCAGAAAAAACATGGGAAACCAGAAAAACGGGAAAATCGGTACAATATATATTACTAAAGAAAATATATAATGTCTATTTAATTAATTAATTTAATTTAATTTTTCACGATAATATGATATATATTGTTGACAAAGCATCACTATCATCTGAACTGCACTCAGAATCGTTTTTCTGTTAATAATGGTTTATCGTTGCTTACAGATATACATTAAACTACCTATAACAGTGGCTGCATCCGTTTCCATTATTCTAGGACGTCTTTTATTCTTAAATTTTAATAAACTTATGACTCGTTTTTTATAAAATTATATATTTATACATATTTACACTAATTTTTTAAAATAGTAATAATGTATTATACGCTAAATACCCGATAGTGAAAGAGTATAATGTGTCGTACATTAACATTACGAATCTATAGTCTCATACAATTATTTCAAACGTAAATTGTATTTCTCGTGAGTATTACTGACGAAAACAATGTTTTTATTTTTTTATTTATTATTATATGAATTTAAATTCTCGTAGTCTAGCGATGAATAGATTTGTTTTACTGCTGTAAAGTTTACTTAAGCAAAACGTGTATCGATTCACACGGATATTCGTTGATAAAAAAGTTTAAACGGGCATTTTGAGCAAAATATTATTTCTTACTGGCTAGTATTTACTATTTAGTAGTTTGGGCTACACTATTCAGTTTAATTCTTACTAAATAAAATACGCCCGTGTCATAAACGAAATTACGTGTTGTACAATATACCTATGTATTATACTTTTGTAGTATATAATCGTTCTTTGGAAATAAGCAATGAGTTATTGTTCGGAATCGAACGAAGAAGAGGTAAGAAAACAGTATTATTTAAGCATTTTTAGATACAGGTACTTTTAGAACAGAAATCCTACTTACATAGGTAATTGATTTAAATATATAGAAATGCCTCTGTGAGATTGAACGTGAAGAAGTTCGCAAAGCCAACGACCGCCTCATCACTCGGATCAACGTACTGACAATCAATGAAAATAAACTTAGGGCCGAGTTAAAGGAATCGAAAGAATATAACAAATGTGTTCTTGCGAAATTGCAAAGTTATAAAGTAAACTACCCAGTTTGTGTTTTATGCAGTTTACAGCTCGTGGGTAGGCACTAATCCCCATATTTATCAGTGTACAAATCCTGTGAAGTTTACAAACATTGTTTATCGATTCGATTTGAATACATATTTAATGGCATTCATACATTTTATACTGTACTGTAAACATTTTTGTTTACACGAAATCTGTGCTCCGTAACGATTTGTTGGTTTACCGTAGCGATCAAATGTATGGCGGGCATATTGATTTACCATGGTTACCAAGTATAAAACCCTCGTCGTATATGAATGATATACAACTAGACAAATATGAGGAAATACATTTGTTCGGTAGTACTTTACTTTAAAACGATTTTTAGATTCCAAACCGTTTCACTACAACATGTTAAAAACTGACAACAAATATTGATTTCTGGGTTACACCGAGTTACCTATGTTAGCCGCAATGAGAAAACCATGACTAATACTATTCAACTCAGAATCGTATTTTGATTTACAATGATTTATCTTTGAATCACCCGACAAACCTTTCCACCTACTACAGTGGCCTACCCATTATGCGAAGTACGTAAGTATTTTTTTATTATTTAGGCCCAATTAGAAGAAAAAAGTAACACCGTTAATAAACTAACGGCGTGTTTGAAATCTAAAAATGAAGAAATCTTTAATGCGCATAAAAAATTTAATATGGTCTACCAACTAATGGCATTGGACTGCGAGACATGTAAGAAAACGGAATTTACGGGCACGAATAATGCGGATAGAAGTTCGGAGGTACCTGATAAATTAAAAACCTTGGGTAAGAAATTATGTGAAGCAACAGTTGCCTTCAAAGAAGTGTCGATGATAACGGAAAGCGAAGAAAACCGAAAGAAAAACATGGTTGAAAAATTAAAAGAAAATAATCACGCGAAACAAAAAGAATTGAGTCGTATGACGTCCAAGATTAAACAACTTCAACTTGATCAGGAACACAACGTTTCGAAAATCAATAAACAGAGAAATCTGATACAAGAATTAAAATGTAAAATAGAAAATATCGCTAATAAAATGTAACACTACGAACAATAAAAAATTAAAAAATCGTGATTATTGTTGTTTGCGAAACAAATTGAACCGGGTTTGTTCAAACAATGGCCGCAACAAAGAAATCGTGTGATAATTCCCGTGATTAAACGTTTTTAGGTGTGTATACCTTACAGAAAAAAACCTGTACAATATTTTACTCGATGTTCCATGAAAAGAATTATAACATACGTGATGCGACGTGAAATATTTATCGAAACCGATCGAATAGCAGAGATATTTGTTAAAGATCCGGGGCGTTTGTCTGTTATATTTTCGAAATAAAAAAAAAAAAAATCAATTTCACGTGACTGCTTGTCAATTTTTAAGACTACGGACTATTAAATGTATCATACCGTTATTAATTATACACGAACATGTTGATATGTTGAAATGACTGTCACTGTCAAAACAAATAGATATAAATTAAAAAAAAATATTCCAATGCTCGGCCTTCGCTCTATTTATAATATTATGATACGTCGAAAAACAAAGAACGTCGTATAACGATATGCTAAACGAAGTCGACGAATTCGAGTAGGCAATTTGAACGTGATCATTATTTCGTGGCGCGTATTAATTACAATTTAAAATCGTATTGCGCGAAATAAAAAAACACCCGTGAGCATAGGCGTCGTGTGCAGAGAGGCTAAGGAGCTTAAACCCCTCCCCCCCTTCCACAGGCGGTTTTTAAGATGGACCAAGGGTCCCTATAGTTTTTATTTGAAAAGCATTCGTACCTATCACGCATAATATTATATAATGTGTAGTTATTATATCCCAACAAAAACCCTCGTCAACTACGTGTAAAAACCTCACTGAAAAAAAAAAAAACAACTCAAGTTAGAAAATTCGTGATATCAAAAAGGGGCTAAGTAATTTCTAAAATTCATTAGTACAGAAATTGTTTTTTAATTGTTTGTATTTGATGAAGCGCGATGGTTTAACAAAAATAATTTAACTTGGATCGGCGGCTACTAATATTTATGATTACAAATATCTTTATTTTGTATGATACAATGCCGACATGAATATTTACATCCACATTTCATAATTTATTGATATCACTATAAAACTATTTAAGTATATAATATGAGTAACCGCCGAGCTAAGTTAAATTATTCGTATTACCTTATCGCACTTCATCAAATACAAACAATTATAAACAATTTCTATAATAATGAATTTAAAAAATTTCTTAGCCCCTCTTTGATATCGCAACTTTTCTAACTTGAGTTTTTTTTTTCCATAAAGAGGTTTTTTACACCTTGGTTAACGGTGGGTTTTTTGTCGGGATATTAATTATTTTTTTTTTTTATGGATTGATTAAATGGATGTTTGATGTATTAGCTATGAATAAAGCTGATTACGAATATAACTAGAAAATGATACTGTTGTAATACAGCGATGAAATAATTAAACGAAATTGTTGTTTTGTTCACCGCACACGGCCACAGTCACAAACAGGTAGTGTAAACATATACATTGTTGAATTGTTGAAAAAAATAGCGTTTCGAGTAAAATCTACGCTCGTACTTCTGCACATAACTCAAACTGTAATTATCCGGTCAACTTGGAATTTACAAAAGTATCGTCTGCTTAACATACTGATCAATGCGTGTAAATTTTAAACCAATCAATCCCATTAGTGTAAGCAAAAGAAAGGTCGGGCCATTTGTCGTAAAATTGCACAGGTTAAATAAGAGTTGGCTGTCGAGTTGTAACATACTACGGTCGAAACACGAGCTATTTTTTATTTTTTTTTTTTTTTTTTTTTGTTCTCACTTAGCTCTGCACCACGCCCGTGGCGCTGGATCATAACAATAATAATTTATTTTGTCATGATATCTACAAACCAACAGTTTAACAGATTACCCGGAGAGAGATAAACGTTTTGGTCGATATTGATAAAATCAGATATTCTAGTGTGAAATTAAATTATAATATAGATAATAAGAAGAAACAAATTTCGAAACGGTTGCAAACCAACTAATTGACAATTCTCGTGTGCGGAGTAATACACGTGTGATAAATAAAAAACAAATCGAGGCACACTTATTTGACATTTTCGGTTTACTTCTTGTGATTGATAAGAAAAACATTAAATATGAAAACGTATATTATGTATTCTACATTTAAACCAAAAATTATAATGCAAACGAGATTTTTGAGATTGGTAGGGACTTCACTCACATTTCCCATGCCCCCCCCCTTGTGTTCACACCTGAAATAGTCTATGCCCGCGAGTAGTAGAACTCCGTCACTAGAGTCGAATCCTGTCTCAGTCGACTCGTCACCGTTAAAATATTTCCTCTTTTTAAAATCTATTGGTTTTACTATAATGTGTTCAAATTTTATATTTTTAATTTTTAATTTCACAGATCACATAACAAAATACTTATCAATTATAATCTACACCGTCACGCCGTCAAAATCGACGGTGTATATTGACTTTTTACACGCGTGTAGATAATATCGCACTTCACCGTCACACGGAATTTGCCGTACCTATCTACTGTCATTCAGGATGGTAGGTGATAATAGGTAAAAAGTGCAGTCAGATGGAAAACCTTATTGGTCGGACAAAATCTCATAGTTCCGCGAAAAGTATTGATTTATTATAAATAATACCATATAGATAACCACAGATAATTCGATGACATTATTATTTATAATGAATTGATAGATAGGTACAAAACATATAAATGCGGTTTCATACGATACGCGTGCAGTACACAGTGCATACGTTTTGCTGCAATCATGACGATGTTTCCTTCTTTTAAGAAAAAAAAAAAGTGATAGTAACTATGCATGATATACGAGTAGTATAAATAGAGTTGCAGTAAGAGATATTAGCGATAATATCAGTCATACTGTTTCGTTCGACGCCGTATCCATAATTTTAATATCTACGGGTGAACACGAATTCGTGGTGATAAATCAATGATTTTCGTGGGAGAAAACATGAAAAATATCTTTTTTTTCTTTCCACGTATTTCTTTTTGATAAATGACAAATGATTATGTTATCTGATTTTCGAGCAATACGAAGGGCGTACAAGACACGGCACGTAGTGCACTATGATTAGTAAATTATTTTTTTATCATTTTTATATTGTAATATTTTTCGATCGAAAATAAGTGTGCATTTAAACGAACGGTCAGGTCACCATTATAGCAGGAAATCGAAATGGCTGACACTGCTGATGGGTGTGCCACTGTTTTAGGTGGAAAGTAAAAATGTAGCATATAGGTATGGAGTAATTTATATCTGTACGCAACGATAAACCATTTTTAATGAAAAACGATTCTGACCAGAGGATTGTTAGTTGTTTTTCCTTGTTGCCGAGGCAAACAACGAAAATTACAGAAAAAAATTTTAAATTAAATTTCTGTTTGTTTTTGTCTTCGTTTTACAACTATATTTGTTTGTGTTTTAATTTTTTAATTATTTCTTTGTTTTTTGTCATTTTTTTTAGCTTTCCATACTAACCTAATCGAAAAATCTCATTACATACAATGTTAAGTGTACGATTTTCTCGGGCTAAAACAACAACGCTAGTGGCGTCTGTCGCACGCGAACACGCTACATATAATTATATTAATACACTTATAAATACATTATATCGTTGCATTATTGCATACACTATTAGTGCATACCTGCAATCAGCAGTCGAAAAAATTAAAAAAATATTTTATTTCAATATATTAATAAAGGTTTATAATACAGTAAACGCATTAGTATTCGATATGGGTTATGGGTACGATTGTCACAACATATTAAGACTGTTGCAAAATGTACAACACGCGACTATAGGAACTAATTATCCCCTATTTAAACCGCTCCAAGCCTTTTTTTTTTTTTTCGCGAAAAAAGGTAAAGCCTATTTTATGTCCTTCCCCAAGATCGAATGACATCTCCGTACCGAATTTCATCGAAATCGGTTCGGCGGTTTAGGCGTGAAAACGTAACAGACAGACAGATGCACTTTCGCGTTTATAATTGTGTAGCGGGGATTACGAGGGAAATCTACAAACGACCCACTCGGCGTACCGACCGTAGAAACTATGGAACCGTCACGACGGTACAAGAGAGCTTTCGATCGGAGCCAAGTTTCCGGTTGAAAACGCCGTGTTTACCGACACGAAAGAAAACAAAAAGAAAAAAACACAAATAAAAATGCGTGTGTTAGGTACCCATCTCGCGTCGCATTTCTTAAATTGACAGCGATATTAATTTTTCGAGTGCGCGGGTATACTTACAGGTGTAATACATTTTGTTGAATATAATAATAATATAATGCGTGGCGGCCCGACGCGGCACAAACGCGACACAAAACCCAGGGAGAGAATAATGCGCCCGCTAGTGGCCAATAATAAATCAAGTACACATGTATACGTATGCGTAAAGGTGTATACATTATACTGAAAACCGTTTGAAATGATAACCGCAACGATGACCTTTAAAAAAAAAAAAAAAAAAACAAAAAATATTGTCAACCGCCTCGCGCCGAGTTTCCATTTGTTGTTTAATATGTAATTTTCTCTCGTTCGTCCGTTCGGTTTTATTTATTTTTTTTTTTTATTATTATTATAAATGAGGGTAACCCGATCCCGTTGTCTGGTCGCGAGAGCGCGCGCGCGCAAACACGCGGCCCGCACATAGAGCCCGCGCGCATAACATTATAATAATAATAAAAATAATATTCCACAGTGCGCGCGCGTATATATTATTTTAATATTATGATAAACTCGCGTATATCGTCCGGGCGGTTTATATGATCCGTCCGTTTGTGTTTTCGTTTAAAAAACGCCGACCGATTTGTCATCCAATTATAACGTCTGCCGCGGCCCCGACGCGTCCCAATTAAGGTATAATACCCACCTGACCGCGCGTGCGTATTTCTCGCGTGCGTGTTTGAATACGTACAGTTTTTGACGATACCGTATGTGTGTGTGTGTGTGTGTGTGTGTACGGCATATACCAGCTAC